AAAGCAGTAAGAAGTGCTTCCAACCTATATGCTCTGTCCCTAGGGCTGCGCAGCCAAAGGTTGAGAAGTCTCCTCATAACACCTAGGTACACCAAATGTAAAGGATCTAAGGGGAAGGAGCTTACCATTCCCACGTGGCACGCCAGCAATGGCGACACGCCAATGCGGTGGCAGTCATCGTCCCTGGAATAAAAATCATCATCTGTCCTAGCATGTTCGGAGACACTATCATAAACTATCTTGTCAACGTACTCTCCCTTAACGCAGCAGCGTTCGCACCCATAGTAAGCATTAACATTCTTAATCTGCTTAATAAAAGCTCTTGCCGGGGCATCACATATGATGGAAGCCAAACGGAAGCGCAGAGTTCTGTCACCCGCATCCAGCCGCAAACCGTGTTCATTCAACGACAATAAATCGTCGACCAGCGGTTTGCAGAACGCCTGCACATCCGAAGGCTTACCAACTCCACAGTATATACCAACTGTGAAAACCTTACTTAATATTGGCTTCCTAATTCTGCCTAAAATAGGCCAGATCGTGGACCTATAGGCCCACGTGGGCAGTGTCTCTTTCCTCAAACAACCCTATGCATATCGTAGAGCACTACTGAAGATCGATTCACCAGCCCGATCCTTAACGTACAAGGAACGGCTGCAGAGTACTTGTAGCAGTTACTCTAGTGACATACTGTAAAAATTACCATGTCTTTACGCAATCCACAGCAAATCTACGCATAGCAAGGACAAATATACAATGAATTCTCGGCGCATTTATAGCTTTTTGCTCAGTCGAGAAGTGATTGGAAGAGAGAGGTTTTGGTATACAAAAGCGGCTGCGTAGACGGTTCGAGGATTTCAAGTTGTACAATCTCTCATGTCCTATGCTTAGTATTTTTGTGAAATAAAAGCGTTCTGTCACCCACTGGCCACTGCAATATTTATCAAGTAAAGTGGAGCTCTCTTTTCACACGCATCTGAGATCGCATGGCTAAAAGGGACCCTTGTTAAATTTTAGCAAACTTCCAAAGTGTGTCAACTAAATTGGCAGTTATTTTCCCTGCTGCTCGACTCTCTGGGTTAATATGCCTAAGTCCGTCTAATTAGTTGTTTGCGGCATTACATTTTTTCGCAAGTCAGAAGGTAATTATGTGTAGAACCGTAGGCTGGATCGCGTTGCGGTTAGAACTGCAGAATATACATTAAAACTTGTCAATAGCCTCCATTTCCACCTACTTCACATTCTGAACTAAAACACGTGAAATAATTATTTTCTGAACTATTGATTCAGTACACGACGAAGCTGACATGGTTGTGACTCACGCACCTTCTCTTCCAAGTCGACATTGATATTCTTGGTCTGGCCTACAACAGTAGCTGGATATGGTAGAGGATCGCTCACCGATCTTTTTTACGGAGCTCACTTGTCCCGTTGTATCTTATGGCTCTCTCGTGCTCAACCGGCAGCCGCACAGCGGCGCAGGATATAGGCAGAAAACGATCGGTGAGCGCCCATCTGCCACTTTATATTCCCGATCGCAACCGGCAGGACAACGAGCCCGTGACTCGGTGGTTAAGGGCGTTGGGCTTCTAACCAACAGGTTGCGGGATCGAGCCCCAGGTGTTTCACACTTCGAGGTTGAGTATGGCTGGCTGACGAAGGCAATTAAGCCAGAAGTGGTCATTTCAGTCCCCTTGTGTTTGTCGGTGAGGCTATTCTGCTCATAGTAGCTGGACATGCATGAACTTCGGTTAGTAGAAACAATGCAGTCCCAAAATAATTCTCCTGCTTTTTTCACTTTTAAAAAGACACCGCTCCTACGTTTATTAATTATAACCCAGGTCCAGCACTACTAGGCACTGCAGCAGAGGGTTCCGGTCAGTTCGGTTCTATTCTCACCGTCGCCTGTAGAATTCGCATCAAGTCTACGTTGTCGTAACAGCGTTTAGTTTGTGTTCCTCTTTGTCTACCACTCAATAATGTCTCGCTGATGCTGTATTAGACACAAACAACTGGACGTTTTTATTATCTTCCGTAAGGCTAGGCAATTCAACCTGCGTGGCGAAGGGTTGCAGTTTCTCCGTCAAGTCCCTTTTCAATCTAGATCGGATGATACCTTGAAAGTGCTTTTGGCCGCCCGAACAATAGAATCTATATACTTGGTTGTGATTTCAAAAAACATGAGATGACATTGGAATGCCAGCAACAATCAGTGACTGCTTCCCATACATTTACTCTCAATGGATCTTAGCCCTTCAAATGCTGTGCGCAAAACTATACCGGAACTAAAGTCACTCTGTCATGCTTCTGCTCTTCTATTTTGGGTACTTCCCTGTAAACCAACTGATGGGGTTCCGCTCTGACAACCTGTCACTAACATTGTACATCTCCTGTATAACTTCAGCCTTCAACGGAGTGTACTGAGTAGAAGACAATAAGGCGGTTCTGATCGCATCATAATTGCTTTGTCCAGTTTTTATCACGCATGAACGGAGGTTTGTCTAATAAAATTCATTGCATTAGATTCGGTCGTCAAGTAAGCGCCCTGCAATAGCCTTAAAGCCCATAAGACTACAAACATAAGCAAATCGTATAAAAAAAACAGGCTGAAACGAAATGTTCGGCCTGATTTTGGAAAACGGCTGTTCTGTTAAACGTTGACCCTTTTTCCGCGAATCAGACAGTAAGGGCGAGAAGTAGGGCATCACGCGACTGGTTTGGGAACACCCAGATTGCGACAGGGAATCTACCCGAAAGCATACGGCAGCGGTTTTGGACCCACTAATGAGTCGACCCCCTCACAGCTGTTATGCAGTGGCGGAGTACCGGCGAAACGCATGTTTGAGCTTTTAGCATGTTGACAGTATGGTAAATCATGCAACTTATGCATGCTGTCGGATGCCTGTTAGCAGTTTCTGAATATTGCGCGACTATCGCACTGAAGTTGATGGACTTCGGACCAAATATTCATATCTACTTTAGAACTGAGCCTATAATGCTTCACTTCGAATGACTTGCTCCAAGTTAGTGCATTCATTTTTGAGATTAAAAACCTGAGGTTTCAAAATTGGGACGCTTACTAGAAAGCACACCGGGAACGCCAGTCAAACCCTTCACAGTTGTGTCGTATGGCGGCAGAATATCGACGAAACACGTATCTGGACTTTTAGTTAGTGTCCGTGCTGTTTGTATAGTAGATAATGCACCAGTAGGTCTTATTTTATCCATTTATTGAAGACAAGGATATGCGCCTATAAGACTATACTTAAGGCGTTTACGTCTACGAACTCGTAACCTAGTTACCAGTTGCTATCGAGGTATGGTAAGCTCATACAGCCAATAATTTAATCCTCTGAAGAATGACATACTTTTGTTCAAGTAAGTCTGCCTCCGGCTGTTGAATTCGCAAACTAGTAAAGTCACATGCCGCATAAAGGGTAAAAGATGTACACTTTGTTCGTCCTTCCACAAAGCAACCCTATCTTAAGTAACATGCCTTATGGTCCTTGTCCGAATCGAATCTGCCCGTTCAGCTCTTGATCATTCGAACGTAGACGTGCGTTAGAAAAGGTGGCTTCGAAAGGATTGCACCCAGTTTTCTACGGCGAAAGGGTAGAGTGACAACAACCAAGTACTATTCCTTCTAGTAAAATGTGGACTTTCCATGTACTCTACGGGGTAGACTTTGAAGTCGGACGAATGATTATTACCGACACTTCCCCTCTGCGCAAAATCCCGGTGTGTTTTGCGAGAAGTCGTGCGTGTGGCACGCGCAGACGGGTTGTATTTAGCTTCGTCAGCCACCTCTCCCAATCTCAAAATTAGTTGGTTGACCGACTTCGACAAGCAATCGGAGCATTGGAAAGGGAAGAGAGAGAGAGAGAGAGACCGACTGTCAGCGCATTTTCGTCCCTATGAGCAATCTGCCACGATTGAGACTATCGCGATGTGCAAAATGCTTTGGCTTGGGAGGCTGTCAACTGACGTTTCAACTCAGACCTCAAGGTCAGCCCAGCGTGTTTGTGTGGAGTGGCCGACTGGCGGACCGAGAGTCAAGCTGCAATGGCTCCTTCTTAGTGTTGCCTCTATGACACTCTCACGCATAAGGGATTCGAGCCGCCCCCCCCCTTTCTTTTTTTGTGAAATCTTCGTCCTTTGTGCGAGGACCAGGGGCTGTGGTGGGATGCCCAGGTGCAGGTTCACGCCGTGCCAGCCACCTGCGCCCGATCCCGCCTCCGGTCTTCTTAATTCTGTCTTGACAGCGAGTCAGGATGGGGAGGAGAAGCGGTGCAGTAGATAAAACGAAAACCCTGCATCATTGTAAACTAATTCACTTGGAATTCGCCGTTCCTACGCCCACCCTGCTGCGGGGCACACGGTGGATATCACCGGTAACAACGGTCGAGCTTTTTGTTATTACGGATACCGATCATCAGGACTAGTAGCCAGATGGCTCGATTACATGAATCTAATGTAGGTGTGAGTAGCGGCTGTATGTATGGCATATAATTCAGCTGGGAAGGCCAGTTTTCCGGTCGAATTAAGTGCGATTCATCACTTTCTTGGATAGGTCGGTCGTCAGACAAGGGGCCCTATCGAACTATATGGGAAGTGGTACCATTTCTTCCCCTGGTAGACTTTCCTTTTACCGCATAGACATCCCGTCTTGTTTAAACGCGCGGTGATCACAGGAGTTCCTATAGATTTTTGACACTTCTGGAGTCGTTAACTGTCCTCACATTTACTAATGCTTTCCGAACCTTGTTTACACAATGGTGGTGCGCGTATTACCTTCAGGTCTGGCCTTAATTTATACATTCAGTGCCCACATCGACCTCCTCAAATGTCTTTTTTTAAGAAACTGAGTTAAAAGTTTGCAGACGGTACTAGTCGATGCACTAATTATTTTTTATTTTCTGCCTTTCAGCAACATGACCCGATTTCCTTCCCTCCTAAAAGGCCTTTCGGATGAAACGCTTAGAGATATACGTTTAAGTAGCATGGAGTATGCCAATGTTCATGGTACGTCATTAACCTGCCTGCATTTTCAACCCACAGGCATTCTAAAATACACACCGGACTTGCAATTAACGACTCTTCAACATACCCTGCTTCCATCACCTTTTCCATCAAAATCATTTCAGCAGGCGATGGTCCTGCAAAAGGATTTCAACATACTTTACAAAAAAGTTGCTGCTGATCACAGTTTTCTTGCTTCAACTCTCAAACCGTAACTCACTATCCGTCCTTATCTGTCTAGAGCACTTGCGTATGACCCCTACCTGGCGTCACTTTGGCGCCTGTATGATGCTGAGCAAACCTTAGGACCCGTTCAAGTAAGGCCTTTGATTCGACCCCATTGTTCTCCTCAAAGAAAATTAAGCTGTCACTCAGTCGGTCCGACTACATGCTCCACCTTAGCGATGACGCGCCTCAGGTGAATGATTCCCGTCACTTGGCAGAACGCGTTATGCTCAAACAGGTGGAGTACAACCTTATCGCTTCGAGCTTTGGTGGAATTATGGAGAGGCTTGTACAGCAACATCAGCTCACCCTTTCTATTCTCGGTCATGACTCGGCCAATCAGGTAGTTGCTGAATTTCCATACAACCTGCCTTCCTCATTCCTTTTTCTAGCTTCCACCCTGTCCATCTGCCACTGGTTTTGGTCGTGCAATTGTGCGAGCTTTTGAAGAGTATTGCAAACTCTTGCAATCGTGGGCTGTTAACATTGACAAACAGCCTGCGGTTCTCATTGTTATCTCACCTCTTGAAACCAACGTCTTTGACCAGCGAAGTATTGAGTTATCAGTTCTCCATCTGAATCCAACCATAAAAATCCTAAGACGAACCTTTGCGGATCTTTCCAAGGTTTCTAAGAGAGTTCACTGTGATGACAAGCATCGGCTGTTTGTGTAAGTTATGCGCCGAGTTTTCTGGACACTACTGTTGACATTCGCTTTTGCTTGTTTTTATGATGCTGATGGTGTCTAGTAGGCCGACGCTGTCGAATGAGGCCATTCAAAATTAGGGCCCACAGCGTACTTATCCAGCCTGCATTCTTTGTCGATCCTAAACAAGTTGTCACAGTGGGTCCAAGCGCAGACTGGCGACGACCTTTGGGATTTCATTTTTTACATTCCAGGAGCAGCTATCAATGCATGACGGATGGCGAACCTCTCTTCATTGAAGGCCAACTCTGAGACAAGCAGACCTCTGCACTTTCATCCCAACGGTTACAATGCTGCTCAGATGAGGAGGATTAAGAATCGGCGCATTGGTCGCCCTATAGAACTTGTCAGTTTGATAACAGCCCAGGGATATGCTGACCTTCAGCCTCCAGTAACTAGGTTTGCTGGCCACCGTCTAACCCTTAGTTTCCAACGAGCCAAAGCCGCTGAGGAGATGACAAGGAGCAAGCAAGCCTGAAAGTTGTTGGGAACCCACCTGTACCGAGAGGTCCGAGGAGGCGTTATAAACAAAAAAAATCAGAGCATAACATTGTGGCGCGTGCCTTAGCATCGGCGGCCACCGAGGCATTCCGCTATCCTGCTCCCCTCTGGCGAACGAGTACTAAATAGACTCAGCTTCTCAATCGTGGACGAGCTCTTGATATTGGATATTAGAATGTGCGAATTTTAGTCTACTCTTGTACCTAAAGTCCGACTGCATTCAGTCTTTGCCATCACAACTTTTCTGCTACTCATATTGCAAACTCTAGCTTTCGGAGATCCCCATAACGAACTATCTCCGCTATCGAATTTGTACGTGTCCTTCCTGTGGTAAGCACGGTCCGGTAATTACCCTCTGGAAATGGTGGACGGATCACTGCTTGCTTGAGAAGCGGTTAATAGTCTTTAGTGTTTGCGCGACAGAAAGGGCCCTTTGCCAATATCTCTGTCGTCGCCGTCTGCTCCTCTCGCGTGCCAGTAATGCCAGTGGCGTTTATAACGCGGACGATAATGACTCAAAACCAGTCGTGGCTCCGACCGTTTCACGATCCATTAAGCCACTTACTGTTTAGCCTCTTATTTATTGCACTTTTCGTACTTTGCTCTAGGCCATCTCTCGCATGTCGTATGTTTTATTGCAAAAATGCAGTGCTTTTTCATGGTATTGCGCCTAGAGCACACTACTTACTTTATTCGAAGGCTTTCGTCCATTCACTGAAGGCCTAGTGTGTGTGCATTGTAAACTTTTTTGATCATCACTACCTGGTCAGCTTGTAGCCCGGTCTTTTACTTGTGAATTTTGGAGCTGGAGGGATTGCTCTGAAACAAACCCTGACTCTTAAAACCTGTGACCTTCAGTCACATAGATTCACTTGAATCTTGGTACCCAGTGATCACTCCTCGGCTGGTAAGAGAAACTTCTTTCGTTTATTCGCTTGTTTTTCTTCAGAAAATACCTTAGGAGTTAAGCATGCCTCTCAAAACCTACCACACTCTATTTCCACAACAGCCGTTTCTAGGAGACGAGATGGGGCGTTAACCAACGTACCTTGATTTTAGACCGGAAATGCACATTTTATGTCTTACTTTACAGCTCCCTGTATAAGTGACTTATGACGCCTAGTAAACCGAAAGCGGTTATTTCAGTGTCCTTCGTCCCTTGCTGACAACGTTGATGAGGAACGCACAACGTGAGCATCGCTTGCAGAATCGATAGTAAAAGCTCATTCTCGAACTCAACAATCATCGGCTTACTACTTACTTGTGCTTGATACGGCTGCGATCATGCCTGATCTAGCCGGCCTCGATGATGCCACGAACTGTACCTCTCCACGCGTGACGAACCGCGGCAGCAGATCTGGACAGCTCATCCCATTCCCATCGCCAACGGCGTAGACCGAATATCGAAGGTCCAAGAACCACCTCCATGTCTTGACAAACTGTGTCAAGTCAGGTTTTGAACTGACCCCCTCCTCGAAGCCTCAAATGGGGCAACGGTGCCGAATCGAGGGCAGTAACACTGAGCTCCTGAGGTGGACGACGAAGAACATGCCCGAACCACATCAGTCGTCTTTCTTGGATGGCCTGAGTTATCCTTGCGATGTTTTTGCAGCGAGCGCGGACTGTCTCATTTGAGACGAAGTCGGTGAACTTCACTCGGAGGATGGTCCTCAAGCACTGGTGGTCAAATACCCCCAGTTTTCGCTCGTCCTCCACGCACGAAGCCCAGCATTCACAATCGCAGAAAGAGACAGACCGGACAGATGCACGGTACACGCAAATCTTAGTGGCGACAGAGAGGTCACGTCAGATCCATAGGCATTTCCGAAGGCATGAGAAAACCCAGCGGGCAGCATCGATTCGGGAGACGATGTCGTCTTTACTCTGTCCATTAGGCAGCAGCCTCGCCCCGAGGTATTTAATGCTGTCTACTTCTTCAAGTTGACAGCCATCAATCCCCAGGGGTGCCTTCTCCTGGTCAGGGATGCAGCTTGAGAATACTTTGGTCTTCCCAGCGTTTATGGACAAACCGACTGATTTAGCGACCTCGTTCACCCGTGACACCATAGACTGCAGATTGTTTAGAAGAGTTTTACTAGCAGCGACACAAAGAAAATTATGAAGCAGAATGTTTACGCACTCAAACTTCGTGAGTCCGAGATCCTTCGCTTTTACACGACTCTTAAGCCAGACGCGCCTCACTTGCCCACACTGCCCCCGGACATTCGGATACCGCAGGGGTCTTATCGCTATTCGCCGCAGTCAACCGACATCCACCAACCGAAAACTACACACGAAAGTTCGACCATCGCGTCCGACGACGTGCGTCGTGAGCTAAACAGCAAGGTGCAGCAGGCACGATGACTTGCGCGTGAATTAGTTTATAGTAATACTTGAATTACTCAGCATCTACTGTACTCCCTCCTAACCCCCCTCCACCTGGACCCGGTGTCAAGACAGAGTCAAGAAGACCGGAGGTGGGTGAGGGCGCAGGTGGATGGCACGGTCGAGCCCGCACCTTGGCGCTCCATTCCACATCCCCTGGTCCACACAGCAAACGACCAGGTTTTCGATCAACAACAACAATGAGGGACGGCAGGGGTCCCAGTGTGCTCGACGTCTGCCGGCAACCGGGTCTGCCATTGCATCCCGAAATGTTGGCATTTGTTATGGCGCGCAATCCGATAGCGCCTGCCAGAATCCTATATGGTCCCCGTGTTGGTTCAACGCATCTACCACATGGCCCGTTTGGGGTACACAAAACACACACACACACACACACGACAGTTCAACCGTCGTTGCCGACGATGTCCACCGTGTGCTCCACTGAACTGTGAGGCAGACACGGTGACTTGCGCATGGATTAGTTTATAGTGGATGTAGACTTGCGCAGCACCTGCCGCACTCTCTCCTCCCCCCCCCCACACCTGGACCCGGTGTTAAGACAGACCGGAGGCGAGGGAGGGCGCCGGCGGATGGCGCGGTCGAGCCCGCACCTTGGCGTTCCACTCCACTTTCCCTGGTCCACACAGCAAATGACCAGGTTTTGACCAACAACACCACAACAGGGGTCAGAAGGACGAGGATGATGACTGGGCAGCCATGTCCACCACCTGTATACTCAGCGGAAGCGCAAGCTCATCTACCGGCAGGGGACCAGGTGTCAGAGAACTGCCAGCGCATAGCAGGCTGCGAGGGCCATGATTTGCTGATACTGGCATAGCACACGCTTTCAGACCAACACCAATACTAATAATCACTGCTAGGGTCACCACGACTGCCAGTTTGACCGTCGATTTTGACGATGTCCACTGTGTGCTCCACCGCAGGATGAGAGCAGGGACGGTGAATTAGTTTGCAGTAATAGTGGACTTGCGCAGCATCTACCACATTCTCCTCCTCCACCTGGGCCCGGTTTCAAGACCTAGTCAAGAAAACTGAAGATGATTGAAGGCGCAGGTGGCTTGCGCGTGCCGCCACGCCACAGATGCCGCATTAAGAAAGAGCAATTACAGCCTGATTTTCAGTTCACCAGTCCATCACTTCATACAAACATACACTAGGCTGGCTGCAAGGTCTGAATTATCCCGTCAGTTGGCAACCTTTCAAGCCATGGCTAACCATCACAACTGATAACATAGCTACCACCACCAGCTCATTAGCTCCATTTCCATCCTCTCCTTACCGTCACCGCACATTTGAATCGCGCGTCAGTCTGGTCGGTTACTCGCGAATTCATCACACTGGGGTGGGCAGACCAGCGCCAGGAGCTCCGACATACACCCATCTCATCCGCCCACGCTGCCCCAGAACATTCGACCTTATGCGCCCACATAAAGATGTTTGTTAAAAACTGAAATCAGGATCTCATCACTGCACCCCTCTGTACCTGTACTGACACCCCTAAGATGCATACCAACCTACCCCACAATCCCGTATTCACACCTGACTCCCGTTACATCATGCCTCTTTCCTGCAGTAAGCATGCTATCTACATTATCATCGTCGAAACGTCCTATGCCAGTACATACACATCTAACGCCTATGGTAAGCATGTCTATTGGTGTATCATGAAGGGGAAGTCGTTTGTGGCATGTGCAGACGGGCTGCCAACCATTGCGCCAGCACCTATCCCCCTCAGTCGTTTTGACATTGTCTTATCATTGTAGCAAGGTTGGCGAGGGAAGCCATAGTGAGGTAGATGTCCCGCAAGTCCGCCTCTCTATAAAATAATTCACGCACAGGTCACCAGTGCTGCGCCCACTCCGTGTGGCACGCGCTGAAAATCGTCGCTTGCGACAGTCACACTTCTGTGGGCCAGACTCCGTCTGTGTGCCAACAGCTGCGTTGCAGGTTAATAACTCTCATTCGGCAAATCTTACGGGCATGTTTGTCCTCCTCCTGCCCACCCTTCTGATACAATTTTGTCTACTAACTGTTCTTCGTATTTCTGAAACTTTAGCGACGGAGTCGAGATCGCCCTCGTCTACTACCGCACCGGCTACTCGCCTGATCAGTTCCGAGGCGAGGTGAGTTCACTCATGTCTGTCAGCGTCCACCTTCTGTTGTTAGCACTGTTTAGGTTCTGACAGGTTGTTTAGTTCACAGGCTTACAGCGGGACATGAACCGCTTGATTCTGTGTTTGAAAACTCCTATGCTTCGATCATTATTGATCACATGTTTGTTTCTCGCACTTCTGTCTGTATGAAACCGCGACGTTCATATGCTCGCATCTGTTTTGTGTGAAATGATTTGATCCGCTTAATGGATTGTGCCTAGGCTTCAGCCGGTGTTGGATAAGTCAGATAACTTACAGTAGTCGTTTATTTCTGGGCAACCTCCCGGTGAACAGGGAACTATCGAAGATTTCAATAAACAGGGAGTTGAGGAAGTCGATGGCGGGCCGGGCTCTGGGGACATCACCAACATATACTGCGGCCCTTGCTGAAGTACGGATGGTTCAGCTACCGTGGGCATGTTTTCCTCGGCCAATAGGGACAAGTCTTTTCTTGACGTTCCATTCCATTTCACAAGTTAGTCACACCGATTGAGATCGTTGTGCGGTTCTTAGTAAGGAGGGGGGGGAGGGTTGGATGACTGACTGAAAGTGTCGTGACGGACCAGCACATAACAGCAAGTGTACAAGTCTAAATATACACGTGGTTGTTCAGAGATTATTTCTCGCTATTCAAGGAAATTTCGAATACGAATTGACTATGGTTGCACGCCTGAACACATGGTAGCGAGCCTCAGCGGCTCTGGTGCGCTGTCAATCATTGTTAGCGTCTTATTGGAGCTGGCCTGCTCGTCTTTTAGTGCATGCAAAGTAGCTGCACAGTGTGGCTGAAAGGTGGCTGTGGAGATTTGCCGCGCTCTACCAACCGGCGAAACTGGCATGCGTGTACTCATGTGCGTTGAATACTCGGCCAAAGAACACCAAGTCTGACACTGCAAATCCATGTTTGACTGGTTTTATGGCAGTCTGGTATCAGTCAGTTACGCATTCAGAAGAGTCTGAGCTCTAATAGAAGAGAGGAGGCGAGCTCCAGGAGGTAGTCGCGAAGAGGCAGACACGATCGCTGAAACAAGAGCTCTATTAGCCTGACGTTTCCAATTCTTACTCGAATCGATCACCAGAGACAGAATCACATAAGGGTAGTGGATTGCCCGAGTGTTCACAGCCAGTATGGCTTCAGTGTAGGTTTAGTCAGAGAAAGACTGTGTAACATGTGAACTGCCATTTTGTGAGACATTCCTTGAATCAAAGAGCATCTTTCACCTCTACAAATGTCCGGCTGTACAAAACCTACTTCGGTTGGTAACATCAAGCAGTCCATGTGCAGCCCAATCTCATTTTCCGTCGGCAGAGTTGACGCATCTACGTGTGCCACACACGTGCGTGTCTCAGCGCACACATGACCCAAACTTTACTGTGCTCGCGTCCCCCCGAAAAGAGTGGTCAGTCAATCCGTAGGAATAAAGAGGTAACACAGCCCGACCTTCAGACCAGAAAAAGACCGGAGCATACCACTCGTTGATAGCTGTCGAAGCCATGGTGTTTACTACGTTGCGGTAGTTTAAGGAGCGTCATATTGATTATAAGTAGGAAAAGCGCATACATGGTCCGCGTTGAATCGGCTCCACTGTATTTCTTCAGGCATGTGCCAATAATGTTCTCGCGCCAAGTCGGCTGACGTCACATAGGGACTCCATTTAACGAGCGTCACGCGTAGTCCTATAGTCACAGCCAGGAATATGCGCACAGTCTGCCGGGTTCATTAGCAGAGTTCAATTCGTCGGGGGCTAAGAGGTGTTTCCGGTTTTGAAGACTGTATACATTCGCGTATCCTCTGAGATGGAGTTAACAAGTGACGACACCTCAGTCTACTGGCATAGCAAGGTAATCGCCTGCTGACCATGTAACAGGCAGCCAATTTGGTTGACTAGATGTGGTTGCGGCTTTTTATCTGAATAACTTGCTAGATTACAACCCCTCCGCATCACTCTCTTTACAACCAACCTAGGTTGGTATGGTTGAGTAGGGCGCGTATCGCACAGGCTCATCGAGGAGCGCATCGAAGGTGCCACTACTGGTTTCTTGATCACGAGAGGTGCTTGGGTAGTGCGAAACCTTAGCGCAGACTCCACGCTGGGGCTGAGTCTTTTCGGTCGTTGGTCTATGCTTGTAGAAGAAAAGACTGGAATCTCCGACCATGGGGACTAAACCTCAAAAAATTCGTCCGTTGACCGCAGTTTCAATCTTGCTTGCGTGTATCTATTCCTTCTGTTCTGCCTCCTCGCCTTTCCTTTATATTTTTGTGAGAACACCGTGCCTAGCCTGGCTTCAATGGTTATGGGTATTTTTGTATTTTCGCATAGGAAGACTGGGAGACGAAGGCCATGTTGGAACGCAGCCTTGCAATCAAGTGTCCCTCAGTTGATTACCTCCTGGCCAACACCAAACTCGTGCAGACTGCTCTGGCCCAGCCCAACGTCCTAGAGAGGTTTTTCGGCAGGGAAAAGGACAGAATTGACGGTCTTGTCTCTACCTTTGCACGTCAGTCTTTTCTGTCAACTGACTTTGAGCTCGCCTCAAAGGCCGAAATTGATGCAATTGTCTCCGACTGCATGCAGAACCCCACAAACTACGTGCTTAAACCTCAGAGGGAGGGTGGGGGAAACAATATATTTGGTGGTAAGACATTTCCCCATCAACGGAGTCCTATTTTCTTGGCTCAAATTTTGCGCACTTCAACTGTGGGTTTGATTTTATTTCAAAATGTATCCAACAAACTAGCTTCGTTGCACTGCCTCTGCGCGTGCCCATTTCCTCCTCGCCTGTAAGCCTTGCCATCGTTCGATCATGATTAATTAAAATGGGTGATTTTGTGAGGAAAAGAAGAAGACACATAACTTTCAAATGCTGCCGCCCCAAAATCCAACCTCGTTTTCTCCATCTTAAGCCGGTAGGCTGTTCTGCCGGAGGAAGTCGTTTTGGGACTCTGCTGATGTGCCTGCTTAGCCACTTGCGCTGTTATGCCATCCAACAGTTCGGCCGTCGGTGACTTGCGCAGAATTAGTTTATAGTGATGGCCGGCTTGCGCAGCATCTGCCACACTGTGGGCCCGGTAGTAGGGCTGCGTCAGGACGACCGGAAGCGTGTTCGGGCGCTGTGACTGACAAAACTGTACGGCCCGTCTACACGCGCCACACACGCACGACCTGGTCCATGCGTAATGTTGTCACGAGAAGGGACGGCTCGGATCCCATCTGAGTTGGGTAGTGCCACAGAGGCAAGATTCAGAAGAAGCCATTGATTTTGACTTTCCGTCCTAAGAGGAGGACCGAGTTATCCTGTCAGTTGGCAGCCTTTCAAATCACAACGTTTAGCGCAATCGTGATAGTGCTGAGCGCGTCACGTTCTTTTTAACGAGAAATGTGCCGTGGGAATGGATACCGCGACGTCGACCTCACCCTTTCTTCCCTCCCCCATGCACCAGTCCGCTGTCCAAGCCGGTCAGCCATCCGATGCCGGGATTTGGCGTTAGTGGCTGGCGTGGCGTGAGGCCTGCACCTAGCCACGCTATCAAACTCCCCTCCGTGTACTGTAGGCGTGCTAGCTCGTGAAATGTTAACCGAAATTCTGAAATGCGTTTTTGTTTCGAAAAGATGACTTAAGTAGGGTTTTGGGAGTAGTCATCATGCAGCATAATTCTATAATAATTCAGTTACCTCGAGATGCCGTCTTTCGAAGGAACATCTTTCCGGCCGCACGCAAAAACAACGCCCCGTAAAAAAATGACTACTTAAATAGCATGCGTTTTTCTTATTAATTTTCTATGCCCTTGAAAATCCACTTATATTTCATGGAAAACATGCATAAAAATATTCACTATTTTACTCTTTTTGGTAGGAAATTGTTTTCTTCCAATTTAAAGCTCGAAGAAAGGGTATAATTTGGTTTTCTAAAACACTTCCAACACCTGAATAATTTTAAACCCGACCTGCCGTTACACATGCATTCAGAGTTTCCAGCCTACAAGTCCTACCTTTTCTGCGTACGGAAAACCGCACATTTCTCTGCGGCAATAAGATGAAACCATATGGTGTCCATAAAATTTAACAGTGGATTTCGGCCATATTAGAAATTTTATAAGCATCATTAGTAAATGCGGGGACAAGGTGTTTTATGAACAGATATTTCACGGTATACAAAATCTCATGATTATCCACTTTTTCTTAAATTGAATTATACCCTTCTGTCAAGTATAAAATTAGAAAAACACTTAATGTTCTACCGAATAAATAAAAGAGTGGGTATTTTTATGCATGTTTTCAATGAAATATAATTGAATTTTCAAGGGCATTGAAAACCAATGAGAAAAGTGCATGCTACATAAGTAGTCATTTTTTACAGGGCGTGGTTTTTGCATACGGTCGGGAAGATGTTCGTTCGAAAGACCACCTTTCGAGGTAACTGAATTATTATAGAATTATTCTGTATGATGGTTACTCCTAAAACCCTACTTAAGTAATCTTTTCGAAAAACAAATGCATTTCAGAATTTTGGTTAGCATCTCATGAGTTAGCACACATACTGTATGTCATTTATTATAAGATGCGTGCTCTACGCAACCTGGTTAACGGGTACCGTGCCCTAGTCTGGCTCCCGTTCTGGTCTAACGTGACCTGTTTTGAGGGCGATACACTGTTCGATGACTCCATGACTGAACTTTCAACATGCCGACCAACCGCGTATTTGTTCAAAATGCTGGCATTCTTTTCGGTCATGCCTCCTTCACTTGTGACTTGGAACAGCAGGGATCAAAAATTAGTGCAATGGTAGTTCTAGTGGGCACAGTAAATTCGCAATAATTTATGTGACCTATTGCTGATTTCCAACATCCAACGCAAATGACTGGCTTGCCAATTGGTCGATGAGTGCATTAATTTGGGCCCACACTATTCTGCCCCATTCTGTAAGTTAGTTTAGGACGTAACTTCGTGACTGCGAAATACGCGGAAATTCCTTATTATAGAGGAATAACATACACGTCCGTCAAAGAGCTGACTGTGGCAGCGGGTTGTTTGCAGATGTACTGGAATCTGAATGTCAGTAGCTTACTGCGTTCCAGAAGTGTCTTGAGTGTTAGTTATGCCATCACCGGAGTATTGGGCATCTACATGTGCGGTTATTCAGAAACAAAACAGTCTTGTCCTTAGATGCACTTTAGTTAGCTATAGTAACCGAAATAATAGCGGCGGATGAGATCCGCTGTCGGCAGGCGTACCTGAGTCCCTAACGTTTCAGGTTGGCTTCTTACCCCATTCAATGTCGAACGGGGCTGTTATAAATTTTCGACGAACTCTGAAAGGCATTCTAGGGCCTGAACAACATCTCTCGCTGCAGTTCATTTACGTGGTGATCACAGGAGAATCTTGAATTGTAATTCATTTCTTTGGAACCACGTTGACAGCGATTGTCCAAATGCCTCCTCTCTTTTAACTAGAGTGGTTTTCTTTTCCTGCCTTTACTCCAACTTTGCCCTATCTAGATGCAATTTGTGAGAAACTTCGGAGCATACTGGGTAAACCTGAAGCCAACACCTTTATCCTCATGCAACGACTTCAGCCTCCTCTGGTGGAGAACTGCGTGGTCGGCCTAAACTATCCTCCACCAGTTCGTCGTTCCATGGTTTGTGAACTCGGAATTTATGGGGTTCTCCTCAGGTCTGTCGCATTTGCCGTTTTACCTGTTGAATCCGACTAAAGACCCTGCGATATTCCAGAATACTTATTACACGCGCTTTGAGGATGTCTGTGCTAGTGTGTGCATTGTTAGTTTGCGTTTTTAATCATGTACGTTGAAAGACAGGTAGTGTGCCATCAACCTTCCCCTATGATTTACAGAAGCAACCCCTTGCAATTGGCTTTTCCAACTATCACGATATATGTTGGTTCTAGTGAAAAGATCACTCAAACTTCAGAGAGTTGGTTGTTTCGGAGTCTTTTGCTTGACGTATCTTGAATATTGTTGTACTGGGTATGTTCGAAACTCCTTTGCCAAGTGATCTAAACCCGGCCAAAGATCTCCGATTCTGGCCCGTGTATGTGTGCTAGAGTTCATTCCTGTCCAGCTTATGTCTTCGTTGGTTTCCTGGGAAACATTTTGGACTCAGTTAACACCTCGGCCTGTAAGTGGCCTGCATACGAGTTTGTTCGGTGGCATGTCTCCATCATGCCCATCGCCTGTCTGCCTAGCATATGCTGCTAGCAAATTTCAACCTAGGTCTTTACTATAGTTTAACTTTCTAGCCTTAAAGAATTTTTGTGCTCATTGTTTCCGCCTTCGCTGCACGCGCTGTACCCCCCCCCCCACTCCGGCCCTCTGCAAAACCATGCGTTGTCCTCTTTTCTCATTTTCAGCAACGGCGACGATATCATCGAGAATTACAGTGCCGGGCATCTGCTTCGTTCGAAATTCGTCGGAGTGGACGAGGGTGGCGTAGCTGCAGGTTTCGCCTGCCTGGACACACCATATCTCGTGTAGAGCCGTCTCTTTGCCTAAGTGCCCCGGTGCTAGTGCATTTAGTCCCATTGGTGCGGTCACCACTCCCACTGCACTCTTCGTGTTGCAAGCTTGCTCAGCCCAACTTTCATTCTTTTATAAATCAGCCAGCCTTCACTGATGGAAAGAGGACAAACATACGATCGGAAATTTCACTTAGTTTTTTTTAAATAACACTTGTCTTTCAGTGAAGTCCCTTAACCATTTTACCTTGTTTGGCCGAATTAAATCTTTTACATTTTCGCTTTCCTACTTTGTGTCCCGCAAAATGGGGTTGTTACGTATTACCCTGACCTTGTGAACAATTCTAAGCAGTATGGGAAGCGTGCGACGCGAGATTGAGACCTATAGTTAGCATTCTTCTCCGACTGTGTGTGTGCATGCAGTCGCGGTCCATCCATTCTTTCGCCGGTCTTCTCACCTTGTGTGCTCCCTTGGCTCTATTAATTTTCCGTTGATCTAGTCTCTTTCTGACGCACTTACCGGGCGACTAATAACAGACATCCGGACATGGCTCCAGCTTTCATAGCTGTATTTTACAAGGGTTGTGAATCTCTGGATCCGTTTTGCGGCATCCAGTTTGTAACACCTACGACACCTGGAGTCCTCTATAACTTTTCACTTAGGCCTACTCTCACTCATTCTCTCTTCGGTAGCCTGACCCCCGAAGGTTATTTACAGTGAGGTGCATCGCATGACGGTTCGGCAGTCGTGCCCGAAGATGTCAATCAGGTGCTCCCCGGCCAGTCGAAACAGGCACGGAGACTTGCGCATTAATTAGTTTATAGTGAGGGTAGACTTGTGCAGGGCCTACCGCACTCCCTCCTCTCTGCCAGGCCCGATGTCAGGTTATAGTTAAGAAGACCGGAGACGGGAGAGGGCGCGGGTGGCTGGCACGGCCGGACCCGCACCCAGGCCCACCACCATGCCCCCTGATCCACAACAAACACTTGACCAGGACTTTAAGCAAAAACGCAACAGCGGGTCAGAAATAGGAGGATTACTGGACAGCCACACTCACAGCCTGTGTACTCAGCGGAAGCACAAGCATATCTACCGGCTGGGAAACCAGGTGCAAGTGCCAGCTCACACCAGACTGAATCGTGGCATAGCATCGCATAGTGGCAGAGATGGCACTGTGAAAACATCTAGCCGTTGGTCGGATGTGCTGGTTTCTCTGTGTGACCCCTTTTCGATTTTGTCTGCTTGCTCTGTAAGGACCCTACGACACTTTTTATCTGTAAGAGACATATGACTGCCAGAAACAGCCCTTTATAATGTTCCAAGCGAGTGGGATTACTTGAAATGTTCAGTTCGTCTAGGTCTCTCTCTACGTCGGATTAATGGTCATCGTGCGGCCCCTACGTTGCATGTGGGCGACTGCGTGGGGTGTGGATATGTGCCTCCCCCACCTGGACTCTCTTAATAAGTGTCTCTAATGCACGCAGTGCGAGTGGGATTTTTGTCCAGAAGGCCCCTATTACCTCCGTTACAGGTGGCCTGGAGCCATAGTTCGGGAGTGAGTATACATTCGTTCGAGACCAGTGATTACCGCATCAATGAAGGAGGCTAGACTGTTTCTACTTGATCCCCTGGGTGTGAAGGCGGCCAGCTTTTCAGTTACAAATCCCGATGAGGGTGTTGTGATTTCCTAAAAAAACCTTAGAGTAAGGTCACGGAGAACAGCCCCCTTCATTCTTGGTCTGCCGCTTCAACCGTCTGAGGTGGTTTAGGTGGCTCTCAGTCAAACCAGGGTTCAATGTTCGGCCCACTGGGCGACTGACTCTTGCTCATTTTGGCGAGTCCATTGTGCCGTTTTTTATTTTTTTTATATAGTTAAAATGGCCAAAAGATGACTGTCTTACGATTATAAGGTCACCCACATCTTAGTGCCACTGTGTGAATTTGAAGTTGTCCACTTTTCCTCTCGCTTTCGAATTTCGGTGAAGTTTATTCGTGTTATCGCTCGGATTTCTGAGTTCCGTTGTACATTCCATGATTTGTCCTCTGACTTGTAATTCCGACTGCTACAACATGCACAGTCGGGCAACAGGCTCCATTGATTCCCATTTGGTCTAGAAACTGGGCTCAGAGAAAGACTGCTGTATCAGTTTGATTGCTCATAGACCGCTGTTTTGTTCTGCTGAAATCGGCCTGATGAGAAAGCAGAATTTCAACGCTGTATTGCCCACGAGAAACAATAGTTAAATAGTTCCTTGGATAGAATGGCATCACTGAAAAAGACAAGGGAGACCGGAATGGCCGTTTCTGGCTCACCAGCCGTCTTCAGCCAGCCACCCCCAGACTCGGGTTTTGTGACCTCTGAGACTCCAACTCACGGCCTGTTAGGTACGAGTTGAACGCCCCAGTCACTGGGCCACAGACTTGTTCTGTCGGTTACAATCTGGTATATTAGTAATGGTAGAGGGACGCTCACCGATCGCGTTGCGGGACATACCCATCAGGTTGTGCATTGAGGCGCAATCTCGAGCCCCACAGCGGCTAGTGATGCAGGCAGATGGCTGTGCATCCTATTTTTCCCTCAAAATCACCAGTCCCAAACTCTACCACCAACAGGCAATATTCTACCGCAAGGTATGCCGATAATAGGGTAGGGCACAGACGTATGTCCCCTCCCCTATTACAACTGGTCTTGATTTGAACTCCAAAGGTAAGAGTTAAATTTAGGACAAGAGAATAGGTATCGCTTGAGATTCATCCCAAGGCCGCATGTAGTATGGGGGTCCTTATTCTCGCGCCCAGCCCAGTACTAGTTCGAACGTCGGGTCTATCCTAATTTAATTCCTTTTTACCGCCGAAAACCTACTTGCATCACTGATCTGTCCGGAGCACGTAATCCTCGGCCCAGAGTATTTGTTGTCCCCTGTGGTACTTTTCTAATGGTATTTGTCGAACCTTCTTATGAACAATTAGCGACTGATTTTTGTCTTTGAGGACTACATTACAGAAGCCGTCTATAGTTTATGTGCTTCTGCTTCTCCCAGATATCTCGCGCAGTACACCCCTTTCGTTCGAAGCATATAGCACAGCTTTTTTCCGGTCCGTTTCTTCGAGTAGTTTATGTGAGCTACAGTGTAGTTATTCGCCACGGTCTTCGACCTCAGGCGTCGTCCTATTTCTATATTTGTAAGGCCGATTTGACGCTATTCCGAAGTCCCGCCTTGCAACAACTCTGTCAGATGATGGAACATCTTCAACCTAAACACATCATCTGAGTTTCTAAACTCTCAGTTCAGACGCGGAGACTGCTACAGTCGGTGGTTTTGTACTAGTAGACGGCCGTAATTTAACCCATCTCATTTGAGAGTATAATAGTCACTTTTGTACTGTAGCCTCTCTTCTACCAGAAGTGGCCAGCACGTTCGCTTGTAAAACTCCGTGTGGATTCACCCATTTGTCGAAATCTTAGTCGAGACAGATGGTCCCATAATTCTGGGATAGGCTGCTGTACGGAGAAGTTGGAGATCCGCTGCCGCATACGGCGGGCGTAGCAGCGGTTTACACACGAGCATGTTTGCGGTGAACCCAGCCTTCACTGCGTCCACCTTTCTACGCCCACCGCCTTCTGCTGGCAAGACGAAATGACGGCGGGTGTGAACGCAGCGATTTGCAGCCCTAGACAGGCCGCCTACGCGTGCTACACCCCACCTGGGTCCCTAGCGTCATATTTGCCCGGTTTAATTCAGGGGGGTCTCAGAGGTTGCCTAAGTAAGAAGGGCGTGTCACATTATATAAAGGAGACATTGCATCCCGACCCTCAGTCCTGAGTGGGACCACGTTGCATCGTCAGCTGGCGGTGTTTCGAGCTGGTACTAAGAGCATGCTGTGATAGATCTAAGCATGTTAGATTTGTTGTACTGAGGAAAACGCCGACTTTTGGTGACGTTGGATTCCTTTTCAATACCGTCTTCTCTTCCGTACTTTGGTTCACCGTCCGGGCCTGCCAACAATCTGTCGATGGGGTTGGGCCCAGTTTCTGACGCGGCGGTAAGGATTTTGTCTACAGCGTGCTACACGCATGCACGACATTACAGTGAGTGGCCGATCTCATGAATGCTGACTGAAATTCCGAAATGCGTTTTCAATTAGGAAGGATTACTGAGGCGCGGTTATAATACTGACCATCTTGCGGAACAATCCTGTAATATTTCAGACTGGGCAGGATGTCAGCATTTGAATATGCCGTTTTCCAATCTCTTGTAGAGATCGTGCTCGGTAAAAAGTGATTACATGAGTAGCCTGCCCTTTTCCCAGTGATTTTCGATAGCCTTGCAAATTCAAACATATTTTGTAGAAATCACGAACAAAAGCAGGCCTTCTTTCAGTCGTTTGATAGGGAATCACGTGAGCTTTACATTTTATACTCGAAGAAGGAGTATAATTAGGTCATATAAAGTTTTCTAATTCCTGAATAACTTGGAGCCTGATCTGTTGTTGCATTAGTGCTCAGTGATTTCAGTCTACAAGGTGCATGCGTCCCGCGTAAAGAAGATCATATATCCTTCTATGACTTTAAAAAGATGCCATATAGGGTCCATGAAATTTTGCAATGGATGTGGACTATGTCGAATATTTCATGAGGAGCAGTGTTAAATGGACAGGTACGATGCTTTATAAATGGGCATTGCGCGGTCTTAAAAATCTCATAATTAAAAACCGTTTAAAACCTAATTACACTTCTTCTTCGAGTATAAAATGTAAAGCTCACGTGATTCCCTATCAAACCATAGAAAGAAGGCCTGCTTTTGTTCGTGATTTCTACAAAATATGTTTGAATTTGGAAGGCCATCGAAAATCAATGGGAAAAGGGCATGCTACTCATGTAATCACTTTTTACCGAGCACGATCTCTACAGGAGATTGGAAAACAGCATATTCAAATGCTGACATCTTGCCCAGTTCGAAATATTATAGGATTGTTCCGCAGGATGGTCAGTATTATAACCGCGCCTCAGTAATCCT